AATTTAAAAGGGAATATTTTTGTTTTTGTGCCTTGTCTCCAGTCCATTGCTTATGCACCCTTTGTGAACCTTGACAGCTAGGGTGGATTTTGAACAATGGGAATCTGAGCTTGATCCAATCTTTTCCTAGTATTTATACATGTATTTCCAGCAACAGCTGCAAGATTAAGATCAAAAATGGGGACCTTGACTTTGCAAAAACTTATTGCTAAGTTTCTAATACAGCGTTTTCTGTTAATTAGCTAACATTAGACAGTTTCTTTTTTTATGTGTTGATGGATGTGCGTATTGTTGGTTAAATTTGCAGATGACACATACATGGAGGGACAGGTAGTGTTAAGGAAATGGGAGGCTGCAGAAGCAGTTGGGCAGGTGAGGAGAGTGGACAAAGTAGCAGATGGAATGCAATTTGGGAAAATGTGATGTTATGCATTTTGATACGAAGAATAATGGTGGAGACTATTTTCTAAATGGGGAAATGCTTCAAAAATCTGAGGGTCAACGGGATTTCGGTGTCCTAGTTCAGGAGTTTCTTAAGGTTAACATGCAGGTTCAGTTGGCAGTTAGGAAGGTAAATGCAACGTTAGCATTCATTTCAAAAGGGCTGGAATGCAGGAGCAGAGATGTATTGCTGAGGCTGTATAACGCTCTGGTCAGACTCCAGTTGCAATATTCTGAGCAATTTTGGGCCCTGTGTCTAAGGATCTGCTGGCCTTGGAGGAGATCCAGAGGAGATTTACAAGAATGATCCCAGGGATGAAAAGCTTGTCATATGAGGAGTGTTCGAAAACTCTGGGTCTGTATTAGATGGAGTTTAGAATGATGAGGGGAGTCTGATTGAAACTTACAGAATACTGCGGCTTGGATAGAGTGGCTATAGAGATATTTCCACCAGTAGGAGAGACTAGGACTTGAGGGCACAGCTTCGGAGTGAAGGGGCGACCCTTCAGAACTAGGTTGGGGAGGAATTTTTTGAGCCAGAGTGTGATGAATCTGTGGAACTCATTGCCACAGACGCATGTGGAGACCAAGTCATTGAGTGTATTTAAGACAGACAGATTCTTCATTGGTAAGAAGATGAAGGGTTTTCGGGAGAAGGCAGGAGAATGGGGTTGAGAAACATCAGCCATGATTGAATGATGGGAAAGACTTGAAGGGTTGAATGCCCTAATTCTGCTCCTATATCTTAGGGTCATGTAAATACTTCCAGTATTTATTACCCATCCCTAATTAAGAGTCATAGTGGGCTGGAGTAACAGTTAGGCCAGACTAGGTCAGGACAGCACAACACAACACAGCACAGCAGTTTCCTTCTGTAAAGGACACTGAGTGAACTAGATGGGTTTTTTCAAACCTATTTTTCTAATCAACCTGTCCAGAGATGTTATTACACACCTCTGAAGCAGGTGTGACTTCAACCCAGCCCTCACATTCCAGGGGTTGGGACACTACCACTGTACCATGAGAGGGCCCTTTAAAATCCTACTGCGTCTGGTATTCCTAGGTGGTCTCCCATCCAAGTATGAACCAGGCCTGAGTCTGCTTAGTTTCTGAGATCAGATGAGATCCGGTGTTTCCTCACTTATAACAATCGACAATGGTTACATGGTCATCATGTGACTCCTTTTAATTCCAGAATTTACTAGGGCTCTGTTGAAGGGCAGTACCTGAAATGTTAACTATCACTTCTCTCCATAAAATTTCTTCTTGACCTGCTGAGTATTTCTGATATTTTCTGTTTTTGTTTTAGATTTCCACAATCCATGACTTTTTGAAAAAAGAATGCGACGGCTTTGACCGTAAGGAAGCAGTTAATTTATCTAATTCTTGACACAAACCTACTGTTCTCCCCAGTTCATCCAGTTTTCGTTCGTTGAAACCAATGAAGAGCTTTGTTTATCTCTCATGTTCCTGCTTTGAATAGTTTACACCTGAAACATTAACTAGTGTTTTTTGATTCACAGCACCTGTGTGTTCCCAGCATTCATAAATGACCCTTTTCAGTACGGTATTTTCCTCACCCTGTCCTTCGTTTTCAGCAGTTTTCCACTGAGCTTTGTTTTGGTTTTTTTGGTTTGTTTTTGGAAATCTGTAATCGTAAGGTGCTAGCTTGGATTTTCAATGCGACATACAACTCCTTTACTGTAATTGAGCAATGATCACTTTTTTGTGACTCAGTTTGGTTGTTTACATGCTGAGAGCTATTTCCCAGAATTTCACTGAACAAAAATGACTATGTCTCAGTGCCAAGGGACCCATGTTCAGTTCTAGCCTCGGGCCGTGTAGAGTTTGCACGTTCTCCCCATGGCTGAGATAACAAGGTGTAGAGCTGGATGAACACAGCAGGCCAAGCAGCATCAGAGGAGCAGGAAGGCTGACGTTTCGGGCCTAGACCCTTCTTCTCTCCCGATGGCTGTGTGCGTTTTCTCCGGATGCTCTGGTTTCCTCGCACAGTCCAAAGACGTGTAGGTTAGGTAGTTCGGCTGTGCCAAATTGCCCATGGTGTCCGGGGATGTGGCTGCTAGGTAGATTAGCCATGGGAAATGCAAGGTTATAAGGGATATGGGGTAGGGAGGTGGGTCTGGGTGGGATTCTCTTTGGAGGGTCGATATGAACTCTGGGCTGAATGGCCTGCTTCCACACTGTAGGGATCTATGATTCTATTGAATATCCTTTATTGTCACGTTTATGTAATATAAAATACATTGAAAAGTGTGTACCATCGTTGTGCATAAGCGCCAATCACATTAACTTAGAATAAAGTAGTAAAAGGAATATAACTTTAAAGAGAGTCCAGACTTTCCTTCTCCACTGCTGTGGCATGCCGTCGCCAGAGTCCTGCTCCAGGCTTCCCAGTCCACACCGTGCCACCGAGAGTGTCCCTCGGCCTCTCCATCGTTCCGGGGACACGGCCCATCAGTCGCCTCCTCAGGTTGCCTGCTCCAGCGCTCACCGTCGCTTGCCTCAGATTGCCTTCTCTCGCCTGGTACTGTTCGTGCCTCCGGCTTGCGCTGACTAACCGCGCGATGCTTATGAATTGTATTTTTTTTTGCCTAGCTGATGTTTGTATTTGAACTCTCATTTTTAAAATTAAAAATAATTATAATCTACTTTGCTTCATGGAATCCATGAAATCAAATATAAAATTAACTGTCCAATTGGGGATTCATGAAAACGATGGGCTGGGTTATCTTCAGCTGCATTCAATGTTTTGGACTATATTACATTTCTGTAGGATATTGACTTTTGCTCAACTAGTTGGGCTCCTTGGAGCTGAGTTTAGTTTTACTTTCTTCATTTCCCAGTTCTTTGTGTCAGTCGTGACTCAGTTGGAAATACTCTTATCACCTCTTGAGTCATGGGGTTCCAGAATCAAGTCCCATTCCAGCGGCTTTGGCCTAAAAGTGTAGGCTGACACTCCAGTGCAATACTGAGATATTAGAATGAGATATTAAACTGTGGATCCATCTAGTAATTATCTTGCAGCCACTTGAATAAGTCTGTTGTGCGGAATTTGCTGCCAGGTTTCCTACATAGCAGCACAGGACCTCAAAAATGCTTAACTGGCTTTGAGATGTCTGGTAGTAGTGAAAAATCATTACATAAATGCAAGATTTTTCTTGCCTTTTTACCTTATTTTAATTTTGTCTGTCAGCAGTGAAACATATAAAGACTGAGTATGGAAATAATGAAACTGTCTATCCGTTATTGCTTTTATTTCATGCTGTTGTGCTGTTCTGATTTTCTTTTTATCCTTTGCAATCATCACTGTTTTCAGTTTCTCTTTTCACTCCCAGTAGACTGCCAACCACCCTGCAGTGCCATATATGTTGAAAAAAAAGCAAATGGTATGTTGTAAAGAAATCTGAAGTACAATCTTAAAAGACTTTATTTTTTAAATTGCATGCATTTATTGCATTTACTGGCAACCACTACTAATGGATATTTGCAGAAAATAATTCCTCTATTTGTTCAAGTTGAGATTCATTTATCTTATCAGAATATTTCAATAATGTTTTACCAGAGGCCACAAACCCAAGCCTAAGATTAACTTCCACAAATATAAGACACATTCTCATAATTTTTAATAATGGTAGCAGCATGAAATGGCATCTGTGCTATGGAATTGCAAAATAAGCAATATAATACCTGAACTGCACCCATGAATGTCAGTGTGATGTTAGGTACATAGGCTGTATGTCCCAAGAACTGGTAGATCTATCAAACAATATGTCTCTTCAGTTGATCATAAGAGGCAGAGTACTGACTGCCTGTCAACTAACCCATGCTTGCACAACTCAGAATTTAGTATCTGGTATTAAATGTGACACTGTGATCGGATAGCAAATTGGCCTTGTGGCAGGAAGCAGATGATGATGGTTGGATGGTGTTTTTTGTGATTGGAAGCTTGAGTCCAATGGCATACGAGAGCATTCGAGGCTTGGTCCCTTGCTGATTATGTACATGAATGATCCAGACATGAATGTATGATTAGTAAGTTCGTAGATGACATGAAAATTGCTGGTGTAGTAAATAGAGAGGAGAAAAGCCTTAGACCACAGAATCATACAGACAGGCTGAACAGTGATAAATGGAAATTAATCCTGAAAAGTGAGAGATTTTGGAAGGAGGACTAACAAGGCAATGAAGTACCTGTTGAATGGTAGGACCCAAGGAAGTACAGAAGATCAGAGGGGCCTTGGTATGCATGTCCATATTTCCTTGAGGGACACTTGAGATACTTGCCTTTATTAGTCAAGTCGTGGGGATGTACAGCACGGAAGCAGACCCTTCAGTCCAACTCGTCCATGCCGACCAGATATCTTAAATTAAGCTAGTTCCATTTTGCCAGCATTTGGCCCATATCCCTATAAACCCTTCCTATTCATATAGCCATCCAGATGTCTTTTTAATGGTGTCTTTATACCAGCCTCCTCCACCTCTGGCAGCTCATTCCATACACACAGCACCCTCTAGAAAAGCTGAGTGCAGTTCTGGTTGCCACATTGTAAGAAGGATGTAATTATACTAGAAAAAATACACAAAAGACTCAACAGGATATTGCCTGGGCTGGAGTGATCCTGCTATGAAGAAAGACTAGAGAGGCTGGAATTGTTTTCCTTGGAGCAGAGAAGGGTGAGGGAGGATCTGATTGAGGCATGCAAAGTTCTGAGGGGTATATACAGTAGGTAGGGAGAAATGTTTTCCCCTTCGTAGAGGTATCAGTAACCAGGCGAGCATGATTTAAGATAAGGAGCAGTTCATTTAGAGGGATTTGAGGAAAATGTTCATCCAGAAGTTTGTGGGTATCTAGAACTCACTTGCTAAAAGTGTGGTAGATGCAGGAACACTTAAGACATTCAAGAATTATTAAGATGACCACTTAAAATGCCATAATGTACAAGGCTATAAGGCCAAGTGCTGGAAAATGAGATTAGAATTGACAAATGTTTGATGACTGACACAGACATGATGGGCTGAAGGACCCTTTCTATGATGTAAAAATCTGATTCTATGACCTTCACTTAAGTAATTGCACCAGTTTTAATTTTTTACTGTACATAAAATACACATTTTATATACCTCTTTTAATATCTCCATGTTCTTTTCTCAGGAAAGTTATCAAAATACCTTTTTTTTCAATGTGTAAGTGCCATAACTGAATGAGGATATTATCTATTGGTTTTCAGTAGAATGGGTGGAAGGAGAATAAACAAATTACTTGCGATGTACATACTTACCCCTGATAGATTTGAAACTTCTGATCAGGTAAATAACTTGTGGAGTGGGAGAAGTTCCTTAGTATGAAAGCTCTGATATATTCTAGAAATAGTTGTTTTCTTATAAAGTGTGGGTTTGCCTAATATTTTGCTGGTATCATGTTGAGAAAACTTTATTTTGAAGATATACTCGCTTAAACTGGGAAACTTCACATACAACTTTGCTGATGGTTAACAGCTTGAAATATTTGTATTTTCTTCTTTATTGGGAATGATGAAAATCTAACATGTAAATGACTGTGAAGTTGAAGCTTTACTAGCTTATTTTTAAAACATGTCCCATCATTCTTTTTGTCATGATATCGACAAAAGGCACAGCTTTCTAGAAAATGTGTTTTGTGAAAGAGCTTTGTAGATTTTGTTTGAAAAATATATTTTGCAATGTTAACCCAAATAACATCTTAGCTATTTTGTTCACAGTATACAGCCCTGAAATGATGGAAAGAATAAATCAATTAGGGCCGCTAAGAAAAGCCAGCAGAAGACCCACCCTTATCAAACCAAGTCCAAACATGCACAGCCAGGTTCCCAAATGTAGCTGACATCTAGATCATTCGACATTCTCACAAAGAAGGCGACTTTCAGCTGAAACCTTTAGTGGGAAAAACTGTAGCAATTGTATTCTTTTATAATCTAATTGCAATAAACATACAGTAATGACCATTTCAGCTTTGTGCACCAGCAAGGTACCTTGGATGTCATACTTCTCAAAATGAAAGAATGAAATAACACAGTTTGCCCTGACAAATGTTTTGTTGCTTCATTTATACTATTGCTCACTTGTAAGATTTTCTTATCGACTCTGGTGATATAACTTTTGAAAGTACAAAATCATGACATAGTTCACAGCATTGTGCAACGTTCTGGTCTGATGATGATAAATGCTGAACAGATGTACACACAATTGCAGTTTTTTGACTGAGTGCTTCAGCTCTGGGAGCCCTGTTATTCGTTAATGTGAATTTCTGATGATAAAACTATCCATTACATGCCATATGCATAAGCCAATGTATAAATTGTATTTCAAAACAATTATGAACAATTCCTGTACTACTGGTGAGCTAGCTTATATTAATTGTAATGCAGCTATTAAACATATAATTTAAAGATTTGATCAGTTAGAAACGGATTATAATACTTTGAAAAATCATCTGCAGATCCTCCCTTTGTGCATTTCAAAGGCACCGTTTCTTAATGGTGTACAATAGCTCCCCAATGGCCATTTATCCGGAGTCCTGCGAAGAACGTTGAAAGGGCTATTTTTTTTTAAACATAGAGGCGGCACGGTGGCTCAGTGGTTAGCACTGCTGCCTCACAGGGCCAGGGACCCGGGTTTGATGCCACCCTTGGGCGACTGTGCAGACTCCACACAGACATTCTCCCGTGTCTGCATGGGTTTCCTCTGGGTGCTCCGGTTTCCTCCCACAGTCTAAAGATGTGCAGGGTAGGTGGTTTGACCATGCAAAATTGCCCATAGTGTTCAGGGATGTTTAGGTTAGGTGGGGACGACATGGGGAATTGCATGGGTAGGGGGCTGGATCTGGGTGGGATGCTCTTCAGAGGGGCGGTGTGGACCTGTTGGGCCACATGGCCTGTTCCCACACTGTAGGGATTCTGTGATCTGGGATTCTGTGACGTAAGTTGTATATAACCTGAAATTTGACAATTGAATTGTGTACTCTACTCATAGTTCATCATGGCAGCTGCAGGTGTGGTGCTGAGGAGATTTGGCATGATTGGGAAATATGAAAGATGTAATATGTGTTCAAGTGAAGAGTATCTTGGGTGTATGCGTGAAAACTATAGCGCAATAGTTCTCCAGATTTTTGGTTGAACGGTCTTGTTTTGATTTAATTTACATTAGTATTCATGGTTTCCGAATCTATTATTATACGACTTGTTGTTTACACTGAAGTGTTGCATATTAAGACTATTTTAATACGACTGTTCCATAAATTTTTTGAGAAAATCTACTTGGCTCATAGGAAGATGGTTGTGGTTATTGGAGGTCAATCATCTCGGTTCTAGAACATCTCTGCAGGAGTTCCTAAGGGTAGTGTCTGAGGCCCAACCATCTTCAGCAGGCTTCATCAATGATCTTCCCTCCATTATAAAGTCATGAATGGGGAGGTTCTCTGATGACTGTACAATCCAGGCTTGGGCTGAAAAGTGACAAATAACATTCATGCACACAAATGCCAGGCAGTGACCATCTCTGAGAGAATCTAACCATTGTAACATCCATTGATCAGAAACTAAACTGGACAAGCCAAATAAATACAGAGACTACAAAAAAAGGTCAGAGGCCAGGATGACTGCAGTATGTAACTCACTTCCTGACTGTCAAACCTTGTTCACCATCTACAAGGCGTAAGCAAGGCGTGTGATAGAATACTCCTCACTTGCCTGGATAAGTCCTGCTCCAGTAATGCTCTGTAAGCTTGATACCTTCTAGGACAAAGCAGCCTGCTTTATTGGCACCACATCCACACAGACCCACTGCTTCCACCACCAACACTCAGTATCAGCTGTGTACACCATCTACATGATACATTGCAGAAATTCGCCAAAGCTCTTTAGATAACTTCCTAACCCACAACCACTTCCATCTTGATGGACAAGTGCAGCAGATGTATGGGAACACTACCACCTGCAAGTTCCCCTCCAAGCCTCTCATCATCCTGATTTGGAAATTTATCACTGTTCCTTCACTGTTGCTGGGTTAAAATCATGGAATTTCCTACCAATAGGTATGAGATTCCCTATGGGTCTATCTGCAGCAGATGGGCTGCAGATGGAATCAGAAAGATAGCTCGCCACCAGCTTCTCAAAGGCAACTAGACATGGGCAATAAATACTGCCACAGCCATGTTTCATGACTAATTTTACTTTTGTGCCACTCCCAGTATTGCTCCAAATGTATGCTCTACCTCCCACCTCTTGTCAAACCAGTCTCGGCATTTGTGTAGTCTTGACCATGGTGCCAAGGGCAGTCCCCATGTTATGCGCTGTTGAGGCTGACACTGCATAGTAAGCACATTCACATCATTTAATGGAATCCTGGAAAATCTGTATATCCCAGTTTGAGAACCTCTGCTAGAGACATTATGTGGATTTATGAAGGCTTCCCTCAATAAGAAATTGAGAATGTCATGTTCTGAAATACTCTTATTATCTGCTAAATTGTATTCTGGTTGCCTGTCTCAGAGAGCTGCTCAGCTTGCAACGATTTACTTTCTGTCACCTTCATTGCTCTGAATATTTATTGTTGTTTTACTGCCTTTCAATAAAATATTGACTATTAACTATCTTTTATTTCATTGCCTGTATCATCTTTTGTGAGATCATGTGTGATCACTGTTGTAATTTGTTGTTTCACATTGTGTTTGAGTCTTTGAATGGTAGGAAGGCCGCTGTGTAAGGTCAAGTGTCAGACCTCCTGCCAATTATTTGAATGGTGCTATCAGGAGAGGTTGGAGTGTCCAGGAGAGGACCAAGGTGTTGAGTAGATAATGGTCCTTTGAAATGCTGAAAAGGGAGAACTGGGATGATGTATATTTTGTAGCATCATGCTGGATCTGGTGAATATGGTTAAATATAGAGGGTGGACAGATGGAGGATGAGGATGAGAATAACCTCTCCTGAGTCTGGGAGGGAGGCAAGAGGGTGAGATCGGACGTGCATGAAGTGGACCACAGTTGACAGGACTTTCCTCCATGCTGGGTGCGAATTCTTGGATGAGGAGAAAGGAATTCACTTGTACTACTAGCAATTTAGCATACTCTTTTCACTGTTCAGTGTGACCTCCTGTACATTTGGTGAGATCAAGTACAGATTTGGTGACCTCGCTGTGGAACTCCTATGGTCTATCCAGAAGCATGACTCCAAGGTTCGTGTCACTTAACATTTTAATTCTCCACCTTGCTCCCACTCTTCACCTTTCTGTGCATGACCTACCACAATGTTCCAATAAAGCTGAACAGAAACTTGAGGAAAAGCATCTCACTTTCATAGGATCTGAATAGTCCAGAAAGAGGCCATTTGGCCTATCAAGTCTACACCGACCCTCCTAAGAGTATCCCACCCAGACCCAGCCCCCTACCCTTTCCCCAAAAAGCCACATTTACCACTGCTAATCCACCAAGTCTATACATCCCTGGACACCACAGGCAATTTAGCATGACCAATCCACCTAACCTGCACATCTTTGGACGGTGGGAGGAAACCAGACCATCCAGTGGAAACCCACACGGACGTGGGTAGAATACACAAACTCCATGCAGTTCGTTGCCAAGCCTGGTGCTGTGAGGCAAAAGTACTAACCACTGAGCCACTTCATGTCAGCACTCCACAGCACAGTTTTCTAGGTTCAATATTAAGTTTAACAACTTGAGATAATTTGCTACCTCCATTTTGTTAGCCTTATTTCTTTCATTATCCCTTCATGTTGCATTCAGTTGTCTGCTAAATAACCATTCTGGATTCAGCATTGATTCTTTACTATATCCATGAGCATCCTTTTTGGCTTTTGCATCAGAATGATTTGCTAGTTAATCTCTCCTTCCCTCCGTCCTATCGTAGACTTTCCCTTCTGTTCTTCCTATGAATTCTCCACATACCCTCCCCTTCCAATGTTGAAAATTTTATGCTTCTAGCTTCCTCCTGTACTGATGTAAGATAATCAAACTAAAATGTTAACTCTTTTTCTCCAAAGATGCAGCCTGACCTACTGAGCATCTTTTTTATTTTTGTTTCAATTATTTTAGTGTCTAGGTGTCCAATATAAGCATATGCTTGTGGAGGAGGTCAGAGAGGCTAAAACAAGTCTGGAAGATGAAACTTGAGCTTGCTGGAGTGAGGTTTTCCCCCCCCACCAACAAATCAAAATGATAAATCTATTTTCAGTAGTTGCTCTTGTCTAGGCATTCTTCATAGATTTGTGCAAGAAGAGGAGATATTCGATCCATTGTGTCTGTACTAGCCCTAGAAACACCTATTCAAGTCATTTCACTTCTCTTTCCCCATAGGTGAGCAAGGTTTCCTTTCAAGTATTTATTCAGCTCTGTTTTTAAAGTCACTATGGGAATATGTTTCCATTACCTATCTGATAGTCCTTTCCTTTCCAACTCATTGCTGAATTTTTTTTAATCCCCCACACCGCCCGTTTCTATCTCCTTCCCAAAAAACCACAAACCTGACTGCCCTGGTCGACCCATTGTCTCTGCCTGCTCCTGCCCCACCGAACTTATCACCACCTATCTCAACTCCATTTTCTCCCCCTTGGTCCAGGAACTCCCTACCTACGTCCGTGACACCACCCACGCCCTCCACCTCCCCTAAAACTTCCAATTCCCTGGTCCCCAACACCTCATCTTTACCATGGATGTCCAGTCCCCATACACCTGCATTCCCCATGCAGATGGCCTAAAAGCCCTCCGCTTCTTCCTGTCTCGCAGGCCAGACTAGTCCCCCTCCACCGACACCCTCATCCACTTAGCTCAATTCGTCCTTGCCCTTAATAACTTCTCCTTCAATTCCTCCCACTTCCTACAGACAAAGGGGGTGGCCACAGGTACCCACATGGGCCCATACTATGCCTGCCTCTTTGTAAGATACGTGGAACAATCCCTCTTCCGAAGCTACACTGGCCCTAAACCCCACCTCTTCC